GAGAATTATTATATTTTAGTGAGGATGCACTTGAGCCTATTATGTATGGATACCAGAACAAGAAACCTGCATGTGACATCGAGTAAATATTGATACGTGACAGCAGCGAGCAGAATTAACTTGTTGCTTTTATTTCATTGCGCTATGACAACAAACAAACTTGTGTTAGTGTTACTCACCATTTCTTTGCTCATACTATTCATCTCTTCCCTCATAATTTGTCGGAAATGTACACACTATATTACAAAGACAATGCACTATTTACAAATAATACAAGTTTAGCGAGTGCGAGAGGGGACGGTCACTGAGTTCACTCCATGATACGGTCACAAGACAGACTGACTGCCGAGACAAAGGCAAGAGCAGCAGCAGCAGCCAGCCAGCCAGGCAGCCAGGCAGCCAGCCGTGTGAGCGATGAACGGCTGCGCACACCTCTAGCGACGCCACTCGTTTACTCTTCTTTCTCCATCAAATTCACACATTAACCCTTTCAGGACGGATGTAGACTGTAGTCTACATTAAATTCTAGTCTATCTTTAAGGCATTTCTAATTACAATCTATGATATTTTTAAACGCTGTTGCAAAGAGTGCATCAACAGCTACAAAGTGGAACTAAGATTTGCTTCGTTGCGTCAGTAGTATGACAGCTATGATCGAGAGAAGACGCGTCAAAACACGTTCCTGAGTCTGGTGAGTGTTACGCTGTTTTTTCATTATTTGATATCGCGATTAAAAATATTTCCAAATGATTATCTTAGTGCAAATCATACTCATTGTATAGGTAATGATGCATAGTAAGATATTAAATTGTCAAAAATATTATATAACATGAACATTTTGAAATCTAAGGTTTTGAAATGATATGTAGCTTATTTGCTACATCCGGCAGTAATTCACAAGTTGGTAAACAACTGAGTAGAAGAGCGTCGTGACAGCACTATTTCCTTGATTACCAATGAAATTTTTGTAGTCCTAAGTAGTTATTCCTTATATTATATTGCAGATCCATCATGTCTTATGAGCAGCCGGGACCAAGTAGATCTAACACAGAACACTTGACCGAATACGAAAAGGTACAGAAGCGCTCGGCAATTCGCCAGGGTAGGAAGTTTCTGACATTAGATGAAGCTGTGAAGATGGTACTCTGTCCTGATGGTGATAAATCTGATGAAGATGATGAAGAATTTGAATCTGCTGTATATGATGATATTGAAGAAGAAGATACCATCCAACATATTTGCACCTTGCCAAATATCGAAGTGCATGATGGTGCATCTGAAGATGATATTCCACTTTCAATTATGGCAGAGCAACAGAGAGCAGCTAAGAATGTAATAAATGAATTCATATGGAGTAAAAAAGATTTCTCTCCGCCTAATGATATTGAATGGAAAGACCGTCTTATTGTTGATGAAGAATGGCAAACATTTAGTGCAACTTCATTTTTCAATTTGATTTTTGATGATGCTCTTATAGATTTCATTGTTCAACAAACTAAACTGCATGCACTACAGAAGGATGGCAAAGAGATGCGTCTTGAAAATACTGACATGAAATGCTTTTTGGGAATTCTACTTCTAACTGGTATTATAAAAGTTCCCAGCTATCGGACATACTGGAAGAAAGGCCTGCAACTGGCCGCAATATCAGACATCATGAGTAGAGATAAGTTTGAAGAGATAAAGAGATATATTCATTTCAACGACAACACGCAACAGAAGACCAGAGATGATCCCGATTTTGATAAGTTATTCAAAATAAGACCCATAATTGAATCTGTCAGAACAAATTGTCGGAAGGTATCACAGGAAGAACATCAAGTTGTAGACGAGCAAATCATTCCCACAAAAGCTCGCATATCTTTGAAACAATACAATCCAAAAAAACCTCACAAATGGGGATACAAAGTAATATCACAAGCAGGATCAAGTGGGTTTGTTTATGACTTCGAGATATATACAGGCAAATCTCAGAAAAATGATGACCTTGGTGTTGGAGTATCTTCTGCCTATGTGCTTCGTCTTGCTGAAGGCATACCTAAGCACTTGAACTACAAGTTGTTCAACGATAACTGGTTCTCTTCTGTTGATTTATCGTCAAAACTAAAGGAATCTGGAATCTTGAATGTATCTACTGTTAGAGCAAATAGACTGAAAGGATGCATCATGGAAAATGACAAGAAATTACAGAAAGAGGGACGAGGAAGTTTCGACTACCGTGTCGAAACAAATCGTGATGTAATAGCAGTGAAGTGGTTTGACAATAAGTCTGTTCACCTTCTTTCAACTTATGCCGGCATCACTCCAGAAGACACCGTCAAGAGATGGGACAAGAAGCGAAACAAGCACATTGAAATAAACAGACCATTTGTTGTAAAAGAATATAACAAATTTATGGGAGGCGTCGATCTATGTGACATGTTGATCGAACTTTACCGCATAGATTTCAAATCTAAGAAATGGTACATGCGAATTTTTTTGTATTTATTGGACATGAGTGTGGTGAATTCTTGGCTTTTGTATAAAAGGAATTGCCATGTAATGAAATCAAAAGTGAAGAGTCTGTCCGACTTCAAGGAAGATCTAGCCATTGGTTTGATGAGTCCAAGTTCAACTCCAAGAGGAAGACCAAGCCACGTGAATGGAGCCTCCACCTCATAAAGAAGGAAATTCTCACATCCATTAGACGCTGTACGTTTCGACAATATTGGCCATTTGCCATTTATTGCTGAAACAAAACAAAGATGCAAGTTTAGTGTGAAAGGTTTCACTAAAGTAAGGTGCAACAAATGTAGTGTAGGTTTGTGCCTTACTAGAACAAAAACTTGCTATGCTCAATACCATACTAAGTAGCCATTCGAAATTGTCTATATCTGCCGGATGTAGACAAAAGGCAACATTTTGTAACTTTTCAAATAAAGGAATATTTCATAACTATTGTTCTTTCTGTAATATTTAACACCTAAATAACTCATTTTTAGCATAAAAATATTTTATTTTGGATCACAAGATAATTCAGGCGTGAAAGGGTTAACAGAATGATCGAATCTTCTTATAAAAATCGACTATAAAAGCTTAACATCAGGTGGAAAATGAAAGTGAATCATGAAAATAATAATCCTAATATGAGCAGCGGCTATAAAAGTCTCGCCAGAACACATCTCATTCATAACCGGGCGAACAGATGTGAGGCGGGTAAGCAAAGCGAAGAAACGCACACGATTCGACCGCCCACACTCTCGATACACAAGCACCTCAACGCGCTACGGCCGACGACTTTACGAGCTTACAAGAGACTCCACGCGTTGATAATCGATTGCATGCAAAGAAACACTGCTCGTGAGAATTCAATGTCGTCAGGAAATTCATGGACGTTTTCTAAACGTATCGCCCAGACAAATGCGTGAATAATTGAGACGTGAATCGGACACCTGATAAAACGTTGGAGTCCAGGAACTAACTGTTCTTGGGTCGGGCATGAACACAGATTTGGAACATTGTCAAGAATTTAATACCGAAGCTGCATTTCCAGAATAGAAACAAGTGCGATATTACAAAATTACTACCCGATTGTAATTTATTTACAAAATTCTACAATCTGGAAAAATTAACACAAAAACGAATGCTAGCAAAGTGCTAAAAATAATAAATGTTGAAAATGTAGACTCCACAAGCAGCAAAATAAACAGTAAACGGCAACAATAAAAATCATCGTGATTTTAGGTCACCCACAAAGAATAGCTGGCTCTTTACCAGCCATTTAAAAACTAGTGCAGAACTCCGATAGTAATTCATTCGCGCATGAAACGTTAAAACCGTCAAACCATTAGGTTCCCATGCTTCAGGCGCATCAAGCAACCAGATTACTGAGAATCCGGTAACAAGTTAATAGACCTTGGATGATGGATAACAAAAACCGACAGAGTTCAAATTTTAAAGTGCAATGTAGTTGACGGTGATCAGTGAGACGATCCACTGACTAGAAGAACGTCTTCAAAAGCACGTCAACTCGCCCAAGTTTGAGAGATATGTACGGAGTTCACGTCTTGTCTGACTTAAAGGTCTGATGGTGGGAACCAATAAATATAACTTCTCCATGCTCAATACATCAGGAAAGAATGGCAGTAATGAAGCTAACTTCCTGAACAATCGCCATCGACGAGGAACAAGAATTAGGTGGCTTACCAATGCCACTGTGCTGCAAGATGGCAAACGGATATACAGAACAGAGCACTGGAGTATTCCAATGAATATTTCTGATTATTTAATGTACTACCTGTCTTTACTACGTTGATAATTCCCATTTTCAATATAATTCAAGATCAAATTCGTTTTTTTTTCTTGATTAGTTTGGTCCACTGGCAACTCGCAAAACAAATTCTGGCTGAATTCTCTGCCAACAGGGTAGTAGCAACGTGAAACTCTAGAGCTAAAAGAGAACAAGATCGACCAGCGAAGATCAATTCAACAATCAGCTATTGTTGAAATATCAACGAAAGGGGATGACATTTCCATCAATCTGAAATATTCCGTTTGCGAAGTTTTTAACGTAATTTTCAAGAGGCATAGCCGCAATTCATTAATGGCAATTCATTAGTTCGTACGTGATCGTATGGATTAATGCGTACGATCGCGAGGATGTTTTCACTGACACCAAATTAGAGTAGAATAATTATCAATATTCCTATTGGGGAGCAGCTAACATCAAGACTAGTAAAGATGACACAGACATAAATTCTTAAGATACTTTCCGTAAACGCAGAGAAATTGAAGTTTGTTGATTCAAAAGAAGCGCAGAGTTTTGCAGTGACTGAGCGGAAGCAAGGTGGTACAAGCGTTTCCGGCAAATAAAAAAGTAAGCCGGCTCAAAGACCATATCACTTGAAATTGCAATCCAGTTTCACATGAACATACTTACTCGTATTTTCAATTTTTTGTTATCTCCACGTAACCTGCCACTTCGGCCTGAATCAACTGATTAAACACATAAATGTACTCACCGACAACGCGGGGTTATCACTCTGGCCAATGGCAGTCCACTTTTGGTCAGCCTCGGACGCGAAGGGAGTTTGGTCAGGCTGCTGGTCCTGTTGCTGCTGCACCGCTGCAGAGTTGGGGTCTTGCTGTAGCTGTGATACCAGAGCTCCGGACGCGGTCGAGTAATATTGACCTGGCATCGCAGGACCTACCAGCATCCCGCCACTCACACTGTTAATGTCAAGGCCCATGCCTGTGAAGAATTCATGCAGAATTAAAAGACATCCTTTGGGTTTCAATGATGTCAAGTTTAAATTCGTCATTTTGTACAGGTACAAGTCATTGCTTTCATGTAAATATAATTTCTATGCTAGGCATACCAAGCCAAATCAATTAATTTATAACGCTGCTACTGTCATGTTGCGTATCCCAAAGCTCTGGCCGTGACTACGTTATACTAAATTAACATTGATTAACATTGGAATTTCTTCTGCAGTCAGAAATATTACAAAGAATAACAATACTTAAACTAAAAGATAGTTAATCGAGTGCAGTATGTCACCTACCAGCCATGGCGTGCTGCACGTCACCTACCAGCCATGGCGTGCTGCACGTCACCTACCAGCCATGGCATGCTGCATGTCACCTACCAGCCATGGCGTGCTGCATGTCACCTACCAGCCATGGCATGCTGCATGTCACCTACCAGCCATGGCATGCTGCATGCCCTCATGCGCTGGGTCGAGGTGCTGCTGATGCAGCATATGTTGAGGCAGGGGGGAGAGGAAGTGAGTGGTGGGATTGCCGTCTTCAGAAGCTCCTACAACATTCCCCAGACCAGGGGGAGGCGGGAAGCCGGAGTTTCCTTGCGAGACTGGCATCATAGAAGCCTGGGAGAACGCAGCGAGCTGCTGCTGCTGGTGGTGCTGCTGCTGCTGCATGTGGGGCCCCACCATTACACCCTAGACACAAGTGACAACTCCGTGATTACAGTCGAGTAGTCACATTCGAATTAATACAAGCCAAAGCTCTGTGATCAAACCAACAGATGAAACTTCCTAACAACATGTTTCAAAAACATTTATACAATGAAACAAATTAACTATAAGATAGATCCATTTCCCTCCTGAAGTTAGACATGATGAGTAACTATGCAAGATACAGCTGTATTGCACAGATGCTAAGCAGTATATATCAATAACAATAAATCAAGGTGCCACATTCACAAAGCTCATCTTAAATATGCTACTGATGATTGAACAAAAATTTTCTGATTATCTGTACCTACAAGGAATCGGCAAAAGATGTGAAATGAAGTGAAATAATGACCATTATATATAATGGTCATTGTTTCATTCATTGCTCATGGTTGCTTATGGTTATTAAATCCATTGATCATGAATTGATATAATTTATGATGACAGTACAGTATTACAAACAAAATTGACAATTAATATAATTTGAGGGAAGAAACTAACATTTACATAGAAATGTTCAGCTGTTACACCAACAAAAAATAGATAGATGGGATAGGAGTATAATTCCCTAGAATAAATAGTATCAAAAATCAAATGCACATAAATTGCTCACCTGTAGAGATGAGACGGGTGTATATGGAACGTGACTGGTGGCCATTCACAAGGAAGAGAAATTTCTTGAATTTAGTTGTGAACTGCTAATGACTTCTTAAATATACTTGGATAGATACTGAGAAACTGTACACTAATTTCCTAACAAGGGCAGGGGCCCTCTGAAAAAAATATAAGGCATGATTAATGTATAGAGCAATGAAGGGTAGTGAGATAAGTTGGTGAGTATAAACAGTACCATGAACATGATTGTTGAAAAGAATCCTATACAGAAACACTGTCAGGAAATCACTGATGATTGAACAAAAACATTTTCTGATTATCTGTACAAGGTATACATGCAAAAGATGTGAAACCCCAAACACAGATTTAAAACTAAAGATAAAATTTTTAATTGCAAAATGATATATTCATTTGATTTCATTTCCTGCCTAGCCAAACACAATGTGCACAATGACTGGTAACCACCCCACACACGGCCTGCAAACCCCTTGATAGCAAGCTGGACAACCAGGGTCTTGACTAGGGTGAGAGCTTCTTTGCAAGTGAACTGACATTTCTGAAAATACACACTGCATCATTGTACAGCATGTGAAACATTTCCTGAACAAGATTTATTGGTGAATTTAAATAGACTATCATTGTGCTTGGTTTGAATATTAGTGATTGATTAGTTTACAGGTTATTCAAAGGGAAAAAATATCACATAGCTCCTAGTAAAATATAATGTACAACCAAGTAGTTATTATTGAACTAAAAAGGGAAGGGTTAAAGCCAAATAGTCCCAGACTCTAATAACTACCCATGGCAATAGTTGGTAGAAAAAAACCCACCCAGTGAAAATTTTCTTTACATTACTAGGACCCTCAACTTGTTCTATAGTCATTCTAGACTTATTATAATGCAATGTAATAGAAAAAGTGATCACTAGATATTTCCTTCACATCAAAGTACATTTTGAGTTTTTTAACATTAGTGGTATAAATTTTTAGATGCTTTTTTGGCAGGGTTGGCAATGATTAAATCAAAATGATTAAATCATGTTATTAAATCACTTGATTTTTTTATAAAAAATCGTGTTTTTTTATAAAAAAAAATCATGAATATATTTAAATATATTGAGTGGCAGTCTTTAATTTATTTTGAGGTATTGTTACTCATGGTTTAGTATAAATGTACTATGAATGACAAATTGGTACCTATATATAATTGTTGCCTTTAGTGTCTATTAGGTTGCAATAAATTGAATGTTTTTGGTACAGGGGCATCAAGTGTGCAATACATTGTACAGCTTAGCTCATGCAGCTAATCTTATTTTTAGCTAATTCTTATAAGGCTATAAGTAGTCTTTAACTATTTGACTACATATTTGTTATATATTGATTACAATATGCAATTTAAATGTGTTAGCTAGCTTATACAGGGTGGGGCAGAACGGTGGGGGTGGGGCAGAACAACTAGTCGGTGTGTATAGAGGGTAGAGTCTGGTAGATTTATAGGACATAAAACTAGTAGATCTATTGATAGTGTTGTGCACTGTGCTATCAGCTACCTATCTGTTATGTGACTCTTCAATGTTTAGAAGATCTGCATTCCTGAAGTGTTTTTGTATATTGAAGCCAGTTAAATGGACAATATTTAGCTCATTACCTTGCTCCATACAAACTTTACAAAGCTAATGAATAGACTTATCAATAATTGTTTACCCAAAAATCCCTAAGTGGCAAACACTACCTTAGCCTGTTGGCCATTATTGAAGGCAATAAGTGCCCTTATTAGCCATCCATTATGATCCATATATTGTTATTGTTAGTAGGCTAATTGCAACATAAAAAATAACACTTCAAAAAGACAAAAAAAATGAAAAATCAAAAAAATCAAATAAATCAAAAAAATCATGAAAAAATAAAAAAAAATTGTTGGTTTTTGACTTTGTTTTTCTTTTTATATTTTTTTAATAAAAAAATCACCAACCCTGGTTCCAAGCCTTTCCAAGCTTTTAGGCCCTGCTATCCAATATGCTATGTGTACTATTAATTTAATATCCCTCTAGAATTCCACACTGGACTGCCAGGTCTAGTAGTTGCTGCGCCAGCTGCGGCTTGTGTGTCTGTAGTTTCAGCTGACGCTTGTCAGTCATTCTGTCATTGCTTTCTGCTCAAAACTTTCTGCAGATTCATTTTCCAGATAGTGCGATGGAGTTCAGTTAGAATTATATTATTATTTTAGGCTTCCTGTGTAATTACTGACAATTTTAAGCAGCCTAAACATCCTGCAAAGTTTGTTAACAGACATACTAGTTCATCTGCCCATTTTTCCAGTCGGGCTGCAGGGCTGGTATCCATGATAATGATACTTTGCTGGTCCCAGGGTGCAGGGGATGCAAGCAGCATTGCCAAGATATGGTTTTTCAGCCAAAAGCGTTGCCAGCCATTTCCAAGATCCATCACCAAGTAATTTTTAATAAGAAAGTGCTGCAAGCAACTTTGATAGTATATCCTTTACTATCCATGCACCAAAACACTTAAACACAACGTTAACTGATTTCCGGACCAGCTTCACTGCATCCTGATCCCTCTGGCGTACAGGAAACCTTACTGTGTGCGCTTGCGGTCCTTCAGATTTCCAGTAATTTCAAAGTTATTTCTCATATGCAATAATTTCAATCCAAATGTGGCAGCAAGATCTTCAGAAGGGGTAAATTTTGCTGCCGATGCATTGCCAAAGATAAGATCGAGATATTCACCCACTTTCTGCACAGTGGTGCTGGTCTACTTATGAGACTTAAAATTGAACTTAAGAGTCTGGAAAACTCTCTGCTTTGCCACTACATGCTAGTCACTCAGGCTGGAATTCTAAAATTTGTGGTTCACATAAAAAAAGCGTTTTGCCTTAAAAAAATGTTCCAGGCAACTAGAAACAGGTTTGCAGGCCGTCAGAAATCGGCTTCGGTTACGGTAGCATGATCGTATGAACGTCAAGTTAGGCAACACAGAGAAGAGAAGGTCCCAAGCAAGATTGTTAATTGCGCGCGTCACTCACAGATGAGCAAGAGGGATGGATCTGCAGAAGGAAATACTATTTATTCCCAACATAATAGTTTCAAATTAAATATAAAAAAATATTTATTGCACCTATTCGTTACCTCAGCTTTCAAATTGAGGAGAAACTCATCGGCAGTTGGAGAAACTTCTTGAAGAAAAGGCAATGCACAACAAACAACATGACACTTCACAGTTTACTGACTAGAATAGACTCAATAGTCAATAGAGTACTCGAAAGTCAAAAATTTAGCATTCAAACCTTTAGATTCTGTGAACCTTGTGATTTCTTCATTATTAAAACTTTAGAAGGCTCACAATATATCACGTAAAGTTTTCACTCAGTTATCATCTTGAAGTTCGGGAGCTTTATCTGCAGTAATGTTCTGTAGTTACCTCACCCACAATTGCATAATGAGAACTAACCACTAACCATCATTAGATTCCCGCCACTGTTGCACACGATTGATTCTGCATGCATGTATAATATTTATGAAGGTTATTTATTAACCATTCTGATTTCTGTTGAATGTCAGTTACTGATAAATTTTTAATATAGAAGAATTCGTATCTTTTATTTTTTCACATGACTATATTGATGTTGGTTTCACATTGGTTGCCGCTTGCTGGTGCGGTTGGTATCCCTGCTACCATAAAATGGGGTAACTTTGACCACTTTTTTTTCAAAATGCCATTTTTTTACTGGATAAGTTAAACTTAAATTTAAACATGCAAAATACAGGTCTATACTCTAGCTTTACTCACCGTAAATTGCTGGCTCCTGCCTCTCATAGTTGCGATGTAATTTAAAAAAAAGTGATGGTCTTTGTTACCCCAGCTCTTGGGGTATCTTTGACCGGGTGGTAAAATCAATTTCATTTTTTGGTAAAATAACTCCAAATAGCTCCAAGTTTTGGTGCAATGTAGTAGAACTCTTCTAGTTACATATGCAAATGACAAATTTGTGGGATTGGTCATAGTTTGCAAATTGGGGCATCGCCCCCAATGGGCGAAATGTGACCATCTAATGGCAGCCGTGATGGGGTAATATTGACCGGCTTGGAAATTAAGTTAAAATTACCATATAAAAGACTCTGTAGAGTCTGAAACATAAATAGGTGTATCAAACATAAAATATGTTATATAGGTACCTATGGTAATTTTAACTTAATTTGTAAGCCGGTCAATGTTACCCCTTCACGGCTGCCATGGGTGGTCAAAGTTCCCCCATTGGGGGGGGGGCACCCCCCATTTGCAAACTATGACACTTTCCTAAAATTTGTCTTTTTCATGTGTAACTTGAAGAGTTCTACTACAATGCATTAAAACCTGGAGTTATTTTACCAAAAAATAAAAAAATTTGGAGGGGGTACTCTGACAGGCTTTAAATAATAGCTCTTTATTGTGGGTCACAGTATTAATTTTTTAACCTATTAGATATGCAAACTTTTTAAATGTTTCTATTGTGTTACGTAGCCTCAGTATTAGGCCTTTATGGTGTTGGGGGTCAGCCCCTCTAAAGGTCGACGGTCCGGCCGGTATAGTACCAGCACAGGGAACAGAATAAAAACAAACTCAGGAGATCAAACAGAGGAAGAACCAGGCAACAATATATTAAATAGAATCAGTGGTACATGAAGGTGAAATATGATGGTTAGTAGGTTAGTGAAGATGGGACAGCCCAGGGCTATGAGTGATGGGGTGAACCTAGCATGAGAACATAAATAACCAGCAGCCCAAACCGGTTTGAACAGTAACGAATAAACAAGAATACACAGTAAATAAACTAAACTGGGCCAGAATAATGATCAGTATCCTGAATCTAATCAAGAATAATGAAGCTAAGGAATCAAGAGCTCAAAACAGGCCCTGGGTCAGGCCTGGTCCAACAAGTGGCGTCTGCACCAAAGAAACAAGATGGCGGTGGTCTTACTTGAGAGTAGCAGTGGGGTAGACTCAACTGGCACATTAGGGCAGATCTGACATGAGTTGCTGGACAGAACTTAAAGAGGCATCCACGCTGGCCTCTAGTGTCAGCTCGAGTAGTTCAAGAGCAGCCCAAGACTCGACTGCAATGTTTCTCAGTCAGCCCAAAGCTTGCCTGTCACTCGTCCAGAACTGG